ACCCAGATGTTTATACTTTCGATCACAGCGAAAGATGCAATAGTTGTCAGGAAATAGTTCTGAATTTGCAACGTCCTCATGTTTCAGTAGGAATTAAAACGTCGACCTCGTCAACACAAGATAATAAGTTGTTAGAAAATGAGTCAAATTTGGAGTTTAAGCCTCTAACATTCTGATATAAAAAGCTCAGAGTCGTAGTGATGAAAGTACTATTAAGTGAAGTGTTTTGAATTAGAGAATTGGATGCCGTTAGACGTGAAACTAAGTTATTTTTATTTAAAATTTGGGAACGCAGACGAACCGACTCGAAAAAACTGAGGTTTACCCTGCATAGAAGTTGAATTATTGATTGGAGTGGTAAATATTTCATTTCTAGGAGCTGAAGTATAATGCTAGCATTTTATCGGAGAAATAGGTGCAGTATTTAGGGCATCAACATTGCCTCGAGACAAGTAATCAACAAGAGAAAATATTATAGTTCTCTTAGTAGCGTCATTGATGGAAATATGAGATTGAAACTGTCTAAATATAAATTTATTTGCATCAAGGAAAAATATATAATTATGCGTATTGGATGTTGCAATTTTATGTAATTGACAATTAATCTCATATGCAAATTTGTTTAAGACGGGACGATCTGGCGAAAATGGATAACCAATAAGAATAATCTTAGTATTTTTAAATTTGTCAGAAGTTAAGTCGTTGAAGATATCATGATTCAGTATTTTGCCACTCGATACTTCTAGATCTCCGCCAAATATCATAACGAAGTCTTGACAGTGAACCGACGAAATGTTATCGGCAACTATCTTTTCAAAAGATGCATTGGGCTTGATTATGGAAGAAACGTCGTATTCATTGTGTGATAGATATTCGTTGAGAAATTTGACACAATTACGTCCCTTACCATCAGCCAGTAAAATAATTTTACGTCGATTAAATAGTTGGGTCTTGGGCAGATACGGTTTATCAGTTTCAGAGGGTGTACAAGCAGGTGTTTGGTTAATAGAAATTGACCCTAAGTTGGTTTTAAAAATAGTATCTACCACAGGCTTAAAACCATTAAATTCTTGTCTAACAGACGTCGTAATAGATGATTTTAGATCATCACGTAAATTCTCAAATAACATGAATACGCGTTCCCCAACTTCATCTAAAATATGTTTAACAGAATCCTTGAAGGACTTCTTCAATTCATCAAGTTCCGCTCTAAGAAACTCGTTCTGTTCACACAGGAGTGTGATAGTCGTATTTTCAAGGTCAATTTTACTGGATTTATTACATCGAGGACAGGAGTTAATTGAATTTACATCATCAGCAATTAACGAATAATTTTTGAAGGAACGCAAACAGCGCAAATGAAATACATTCTTACATTTAGTACAAGTTGTAGAATTAACCACCAAACTCTTACATTTACAACAAACAGAATTCGTTATGTATACAAAAAGAATAATTAAAAGACGGGGACACACACTTCACCCCTACGGTGCTTTTCGTGGGGACTTATTAAAGAAACAGACAAGAAAGCAACGGAGAGGTTATGATGTGTAAGATCAAAACAGAGGTTAAGAGTTTACACGAGAAAAGAAAACTCAAGTTTCACTAACATTACTTTAAATATTAACGAATAAACAGTAATAATTACGATAACAGTAATAAGTTCACTTGTATCACACATCACGGGTTTACCAGAGACGAAAAATAAATGTAGTAGCAAAACCTAGGACGAGGCTAATGAGAATACATCAAAATATATACGTGTTTCATTTAAATAAACTAACTTGTGTGTTACATCTTAGAAACACAACACTCCGTATAGTTAAAAATAATCCTAGAATACAGTCCTTAAAGAACCGTACAACTTTGATTTTAGATTTTCTGATGTATCTCTAATAATTAATGATACATGGAACACCGCGCGGTTAGTGACTCATCATCTATAAATAATAAAACACGTATTTCATAATGTTTCAGTATTCAGCCCCTAAGGGTGGGTTTTTCCAAAATGTAGTTAACCTCTGGTTTCGTAACTTTTAGTTAACTTTAACTCCAAGTTAACTAGCAGTTAATTTTGAATGCGTTTTTCCAACAAATTTGTAAATTTGGTTAGAAAACTAACAGTTAACTATGATTTATATTTGGTATCTATGCCAACGTTTCACAAATCTGTTGTTTATTGTGATAAATGTCATTCAAATTCTTCTGGTGTGATTATTTTGTACAAAAATGAGTAACACAGAGAAAACAAAGCGGTGTTCTAACTTTACGAGAGAAGGGGAAAGGATTTTGACCCAATTGGTTCATAAAAACAGAAATATAATTGAATGCAAAAAAAGTGGCCAGGTAACATGGGAGCAGAAGGCAAATACCTGGCGTACCATTGCAGATGAATTCAATTCCAGTGTTGGAGGGCAATTTAAAGGGGTCCAAATTTTAAAATGCAAATACGCCAATTTAAAAAAAAAGTTGCAAACGTTTATCTTTGTAAAAATTCTTTTCTATCCCATTTTTCAAAATAGTTTATATGTTCCGTTAAAACTCTTTGTTTTCGTACAGGCACCTCCTCATCGTCGCTATAAACGTTAATATCGACGAAATCCATCATTTTACTGATGACAGTTTTATAAAATCAAACGTCAAAATATGAAACTACTAGTTAACTGATACTTTGAGTTCTGGTTAAATGAAATTAGAAGTTAACTTTAAACCGTTAGTTAACGGAAATGGAAAAACACTGCAGGCCTAGTTAACTGTGAGTTAGGTTAAACCGTAAGTTAACTAGAGATGGAAAAACCCAGCCAATTTGTGTGTAAAATCTCGCATAACATTGCCCCTTTAATACCTATATCTAATTTTATAATATATAGTTGTAATATGTCAATACTGACTTACCTTGTTGCCAATAACACTTAAGAAACAAAACTTCTTTTGCCTACCATTGAAAATCAGTCTGGAGAAACAAATATGATGCACTTTAAAGTACCAATAGCACAAAATAAAAAACTGATGTTAAAATCATTGCTTTTTATTGTCATTGTCTTTTTTTTTAAACATCAGCAAAATAACAATAATCTTTAAATCACTTAAGCTGACATTACTTAATCATCCCCGAAATCTAATTTTACATGCTCATAAATGCATTTTACAAACTGAATCGCAGTCTCTCCCGGTGTAGGCTTACCGCCGCTGCACTCGAAAATTTGCGTACTTTGGTCGTCAGTCACTCCAGTCGCTTCAAATTTACTTCTAATGACTTCGGTGTCGAGCTCGCCTGACTCTTTAATCAGTCCCTCTTTTTTGAAAACGCAGAGAAAATATTCTTTATATTTAGGATTATTGTCAATGTTTTCATGAACTCGGTCGCGCTCTAGTTCTTCATCAGTCAGGTCATGTTCACTTTCGCAGCTCGAAATGGTTGCCCCGAGATGGCCTAATGTTTCTTCATCGAACTCAGCCTGAGGTTTTTTTATAAATATTGCAAAATGGAACTGTGTTGAGAAAGAACTCTTACCAAGGTACATGTTGCAAAAAGTAGAATGACGATTGGTAGTCTCATCATGGCGTCAATGCGTGTGCACGGTACTTGAATCGAAGAAAAGCTGTTTCTGAGCTATATATTTGAGCTATTAAGGTCAAACTTTATCTTCCGTATACTTCTTTTAGTGTTAATGGAATTGTGTAATCAAGTAGTTATCAGTGGCGGCTGGTGAGATTTTTGGTAGGTTGGGCAAGTATAGCTAGGTACCTAATCAAAAGTAAGTATGTTTTCTATGACGAGGTTCTTACAGCCTAAAATTTCCCTGATTTAAAGAATCTCTTGATTCATTGTGATTACGGAGTGCTTGTTCTTGGGTTGCTAAATAAATGATCATATCAGTCAGCTTCGTTATCATTTCTCTATTTTCTTTAACCAGTTCATTATATTTTAAAATAGATAGTTACTTTGAACATGGGCTGAGTCTATTGAACTTTGACTATTATTTTTCCCAAACAATTTAAATTTTAAAGACTCATGAGTATGCTGTTCTGAGTCCATGTTTTTGCAATGATTCGAATAGGTGTTTAAGTCGTCGTGCCCACCAGTCCAAGGACTTTGCTTAGTCTCAGAAAATAAAAGACAACTTCAGTCTTCAGTAGTAAAGTTTGTTTCACTTTTCGCTTGCCGTGGGCGAATTATACTTATCATATCAATTATTATTAAACCCTCTGTTACCTCTGCTGCCTTTATTTTTTATTATTAAATTTTTATTATTATATATACATATATTTAGTCTGCTAATAAATTTAGTCTCCAGTAAAAAATTTACGATATCGTCATTATTGTTGATCACCTCCCGAATGATAATACCTACGAGTTTTCTGGTTTTACCCAATGCTGAAGGGGATGACAGGATTATACCTCGTGTTATAACTTGTCAAATTGTAATCATTTGTCATGGCTTTGACGTTATGATTATTGCACTAAGCACTTATTGACTAATTGAGTAATTCCAAAACAATTAAATTAACTCACCATAACCCCTCAGATCCTCAAAACACTAAAAAACAATTTTGCACTTTTTAACGGATCACGATGTGACACGAGAGCACGAGACAACTACGAAACTATCCGATTGGGCTAGCCCAGCCCGTACCGTCAACCCGTCAACCTTACAAGCGGTGGCTGTGCATTACCGAATACGATGTTACGATATTCGTAATACCAGATAAAATAAGACTAAAATGTTTTTTTTTTCAGCTTAGATGCGGATAAATTTTTCACTATGACGACTAGCCGTAATGAAAATAGTCTTATTAGCTTGTGTTTTGTCCGTATCATTTACATTAAATAAAACAAATTGAATTTATTAAAAAGATTACATTACTGATTATTTGAACGAAATTATGTACCTATAATTTTCAATGCCATTTTTCAATTCTCATTATTGCAATAATTATACTTCTGAGCGAAGCTCCAATCCAATATGTAGTATGTATGTGTATGCTTTATATTTGAGTTACGGGCTAGCCCGAGCTTGGGGACTCGTGGTCCGACCCCACTCCACGCCCGCCAGTGCAACAGGACCTGCGACGATGTAGTCTTCTCTGTTTTTCAGACTAATCTGGGTACGGAACGCACGTGCAGATTAATTCAGGCGTCTCGGGCAAGCCCTTAGATCAATTTTATCCGAAAATTAGGAGTATAATGAGCACGTGGTACGTAAGAAAGTTTAATGAACATAATTGCAAGGATTTATTATCGGCTTTATTATTTATAAAATTTGAGAAATTTATATTTTACTAATTTTAAAACCTCTAAAAAATTAGGTTGGGCATTGCCCACCTTGCCCACCCCGACCAGCCGCCACTGGTAGTTATACAGAAACAATAGAATATAAAAAATTGTGGAAAAATTCGGGGACAAATATTTCACTTTTAATAGATTTAGAGTCTTTCAGCAACACTTCAGCAAAGTGCAAATGGGTGTCGAGGTCGGAAATTAGGATAGGGAGGTGTAAATGGGAGAGAACGTGTATTAACATGATCGTTTGGTGAAAACGGTGTCTTTGGTGGTAATTCGTTTATCGATGATGATGTATTTTTATCAGTTTTTTTTAGTTTGTCAATAATAGTTGTAAGATCGTACATATATAGTGGTGCAATCATGTTTTGAAACTGATAGTTTGTATAGAATTTTGGGTGTAAACCCCTCTCACAATACTTAATAAACTGACTGTCATCCATGAGTGAATCGACGTCGTATGCTAACAACTTCAGTTTGTAAAAATATTCTCGAAATTGTTTTCTATTTGTAAATTCAAATTCGGCATCTCTATTCGATTTTAATGGACATTCTACTTTAAATCCTATACAATATCTTTCCAGGTACTTGAGATATTGTTTTCAACATAGTTTTCGTACCAACGGTTTGCTACATCGCTCAAAAATGCACCAAAATAAACTATTTTCTGCAACCCACTATGTATATAACGTGTTAAGCGAAATGTGTCATGTTTAGTAGGTTCCTAAAAAGTGTTGTAGTATTACAGGCATCTACCTGTATATAATATCCAATATTATGTTATGTAAGTCCATATAAATTTATTGTATTTTTTTAACTTACAAAAAAACCTGCTTGTTGTAGTAGGTAAAGATAATCTTCTAATTCCTCAAAATTTGTTTAGCTGTGGTCTTGGCGGCATATCTTCTATTACTGTTTTCTTTTTGATTTGTCAGATTTGATGACGTTTTCATGTTGGAGATTTGTTCACTCGTTTCCTTTAGAATTTCTTTTGTTTCGCACATATTTTTTGTATTTGTTTCAAGTCTAAAGTAATATTATGTTCGTTAGCACCTAGTTCATTAAAAATTGCAGTAACATACATTTGCAACATTTTATGGTAAAGCGCCTCACTTTCAAAAATAATCACCGTAAGTTCTTCAAAATCAGCGGGAGTATCTTCAGTGATTAATGGTGATATTTCCAGCTTATCTGAAAAAACTGTTTTTGTTGTTTACGTACAGTTATTAAAAACAACAGAAGCACGTAAAAATTAAAATGATTACTTCATTAGAATTATATTAACTTACCTAGTGTAAATGCAATCCACACTGAATGGCAGAAATGTTCACAAAACTGCATTAAAAATGAAGTGAGTTAGGGATCCACGAGAAAGGTTCGGTGGTTGTGAACCAAATGGCCAAATGGAATTCGAAAGCTTCACTGTGAGTGTGAGGTGCAATAAACATAAATACTGAAAAAAGGGATCGTCCGACTGCATCCCCTAAATATCTGGTGGATAGTAAATGCAGAATTTGAGCGTTAGTTTTTCATTAGATGAAATAAATTTAATAAAATTAAAAATCAACCACTCTCTAATTTTTTTGGTACGCATCATCGCTTTATAAACGTCTTTTGTAAAATCAAATTTCGACGAATGGATTCTTCAAAACCTTGTCCAGTTTCAGGGACAATGGACAAAGAATTTTTATGACTTTGTTTGTGTCGTTGGGTCTTCCCTATATTACCCCAGATGTTCTATTTATAATTTGCCAAGCAGGTACTTACAAAATAACACTTCAAGAGTGAACAACCTTACAGAAATAATTATTAGAAATTATTAGAATGAAAAAACTTGTCTTTGGTGTATTTATAATAAAGCCGTTGTATATTTCGCTCTGAATATAATTAATAATTAAGCATTACGAACTCACTGACGAAGGCTACTTTTTAAGGAATACGACGACCCACATCTAATTGACCATATAATCTTTAACAATAAGTTTCAAATAATACCATAGTGGTTTTTTTAAATTTTGATAAGGTGTTGTAAAACTATATGTGAATCGCCACATCTGATATGTGTTTGTTTCTGTCTTTATTCCAGACACTGTATTTATTTATGTACGTGGGATTTTAGGGGCGGAAACGTATACCTGCGTAAATACTGTAAATACAGTGGTGTCGAACGAAGACAAAAACAGAAACATACCCGATGCATTATACATTACACTCTCTTACCGACATTAAAAAAAAATTACACTATTTTGTCATATCTGCTGCTTTATTATCAGTTTTCAGTTAGTTGGATATGAAATGAAGTGAATTTTTTGAGAAATTAATAATTTAAAGATCAACCACGAAAATACTCAATTATAATTAAGTATACATTATACATTACTAGTTTATTTTAGAGCCTAAGATTACATTGGAAAAATCTAAACTTTTGAAAATTTAATGTTAAATAGATATACCTATAACTGAGTACGAAAGCCAATACACAAAACTCGATGATCAATTATTGTTCCGTATTCAAATTATTATTTATTGTCCTTACGATCAAAGGGAAGAAATTACGATATCGCTGACCTTGAAATATATTCGTTTTTTAATTTCGATGTTTTTCTTCGTGTTGCTTTTGTTATCGATCATCATATTTTGCATTAGAATTAATAAAATGATGAAATATATGATTTTATTTTTCGAGCTCATTTCAAAATTCTGTATATGTATAGCTGTTCCTTTTTGGCAGTGACGCATAGGCAGAGGTTAAAAAATAATGTCTCATTAGTAGTCTTAGTTCATGTTACCTGTTAGATGGGACATTTTTTAATTCTGATCATAAACTATATGCATTAAGTCTCTTGTTCTGTTTTATAAAGCGCAGGTCGTTATGGACGTATAAAAATAAAATTATAAATAAATATAATTAGATGGAGATATAATATGAAAAAAAAAAAAAGAGCAACTCACTATTGGCGTCATTTCACTTGTGCAAGATTTAACACAAAGAAGAAATTTCTTTTTTAAGACTTAGCATCTTTTGTTTATGAATATACTATTTACTTGCAACACAAACATAAATAATAAATATAAAATATACCTATATAATACTCGGTATGTATGTTTTTAAATGTTTTTTGTGTTGCCTTGTCAGAAACGTTAATTTTCAATTTGACATGCCATTTTATAAAACGAACTGAAAAGCACTTTACATAATTAACTAATACAAATAAAACATTCCGAAGCATGTATATATATATTATTCAGATATCTAGTAACTAGAGTTAATATTACTATATATTTATTGGTTACATAACCGCAGTACTCCATTGTGATGTTACAAGGCTTATCTGCCAACTATATCGCTGCGACATAATAGTGAGATTTCTAGTAAATGTAGTCAACATTACGTGTTAGTTGCATAGCATGAGTACTCCATTGTGATCTTTAGAGAGCGGATTCATAAGCACAAAAAATTAAGAATAAGCGCTTAAATAAGCACAACATTTTCAATAAAAAGTTTTATTTTAAGCAAAAAAGCATTAAAAACATAATCATATTACAAATCAAAGAACACTTCTTAGAACTTTGGATAAAATATTATTACAATAATCCTAGACTTTATATTTTACACACGTATTTCAGTTTTCTTTAAAACAATTTATGATTGTAATATGTTCCAAGTTGTCCACTGTAAAATTTTTTCGCCGATCATTTAAAATGTGTTTAAAATTGGAGAATGTGCGTTCAACATCCACACTCGTTGTTGGCGCAAATTTGAATTTTGCAACTAATGTTGAATCTAACTCCAAATTTTCCACCTTCTGACCTTGTTAAACACGAGCAACGTCGGAAAGAACACCGAAACCTGCATTTTTATTTAACACTTCGTCAAGGTTTTGAGATACTCTAGTACCAATATCACCCCTTACTGCGTTTGCTTGTTGTTTAAATTCTTTCACTAAGTTCATGGCATCTACCAACAACATGTTGGGTTTTTCTAACTTTTCTATTACCTCAAATACGAATTGATAATTGCTTCTTAGAAAAGCTAGATCTTGTCGCAAATCTTTGTTTTCCAAAATATTTATGCAATCTTTAATCGGTTGAGAAGAATCTTCACTAAACTCCGTAACTACTTCCTCAAATTCTTTGATTCATTTGTCATAATAAAATGTGGCCTGTAACCATGTTCCCCGCCTCGTTATAATCGACTCTGGGAGCAATGGTATGTTTGGAAATTTTTCCTTAAAATGTTGCACTCTTAGTGGTGCTTTAACAAAAATCCTTTTATCATTTGCCACTAATTTATCAACAGTAGGAAACTGCAAACGTATTCTTTCAGCCACTCTGTTTAAACCGTGGGCAATGCAAGTAGAGTGAATTAAATTGGGGTACAATATTTTTAGATTATTCCCTGCTTTCAACATATAACGACCTGTATCCGAGATCATCAATAAAATTTTATTCGCCGGTACGGTATTTGGCAATAATAGTGACGTAAGACTATCATTTACAAATCTGGTAATCGTATTGCCATTTGTTTTATCTAACATTTTCAAACTTACTACATACTCTCGACTAGGGAAATTTTCATTTAAGATTCCAACAATTAAACTTGCCACGTATCTTCCACAACTATCGGTTGTTTCATCGAGAGCGAACCATAAATAATTATCTCCAATGCGATGTTTAATTTCGTTGTAAACTTGCTGAAACACTGGGCCTACATAGTTTTTTCGGAGAGTACTTTCAACCGGAATATGTCGATTGCAGTGTTTTTCAAGGAATTCTTGAAGAGGGCCTTTCTCCAATTTTTTTAAAGGTACATTGGACTGGATCATCATTTTACATAAATCGAAATTAAACTGAAACTGCTCATCTTTTGTGGAAGTAGATGCAACAGATTCATGTATGGTCTGCTGTTTAATTTTAGAAACTTCAAACATTTTCTTCCTTTCTACATGAAGAGTCGTTCTGACATGTTGCGTCACGTTATATTTTTTATCACTTTGAATGTAAAACAACGTACATATACAGGAATAACAAAGAAAAATAGATTTTGTTGTTTTCTAATTTTAGTTCTGGAAAATCCCTTATCCACTCATCAGGCGTCGATTTTACTTTCGGCATTCTTTTAAAATATTAGTAATATTACCAAAAATAACTCAACATGTAACAAGGGAGAACCACCTATAACACTGTACTACGACAGATGCGATAGACTGATGGTTGTGAAATAAACGGTTCATTTACTTAAAAGTTTCCATTAGAAAAATTTTAAGGTAGGTAGTTGAGTACAATAATCCTTTTTCCTAGAAAATCTTCAACGGTCTTGCCGCAAAATGCCGAAAAAGAACATCTGGTTAAAAGCTTTAATTCATTGTCAACGGAAGTAAGGATTTAAAGTCATAAAATCTATGGAGTATTTTTCCAATCCTATAATAAAATTTTATTACCCAAACGACTGCAACCTATTCACAGAAAGGGTCTTGAGTAAGTGTACTTCAATGGTCAAGTCCAGGTAAAATGCATACGATACGATACGGCTAACTAACAAGTATTTGTCATTCCGACAAGGCCGGGATTTGAACAAAATATGCATTAAAACTCATATTCGTCGAAAAAAGCATTAAATAAGCATATAAGTTTTAATATGCATAAAATTGAAAAAAAAGCAAATAAGCATAAAAAAAATGTGTCAAATGACTCCAAATTGTATCATAGTTACAGATATAAACAAGTTTTGAAGTGCTTACATTTTTCACAAAAAGCATTAAAATAACTTGTGTGTTACATCTTAGAAACACATAGTTAAAAATAATCCTAGAATAGAGTCTTTAAAGAACCGTACAACAGGAACATATGTCCATACTTATATAAAATTTTAAACATAACACAATATAAAAAACTGATGTTAAAATCATTGATTTTTATTGTCATTGTCATTTCTTTTAAACATCAGAAACATAACAATAATTTTTAAATCACTGAAGCTGACATTACTTAAGCTTGACCGGAAAAGATTCCTACATGAATATTAATGCATTTTACAAATTCCATCGCAGTGTCTTCCGGTGTAGCCTGATTGGCGCTGCAGTTGAAAATTAGCGCCCATTGGTCGTCAGTCATTCCAACCGCTTGAAATCTACTTGTAATGACTTCGGTCTCGAGCCCGCCTGACTCTTTAATCAGTCCCTCTTTTTTTAAAATACAGAGAATATATTCTTTGTATTTAGGATTATTAACAAAGTTTCCAGCAGCTCGGTCGCGCTGTATTTCTTCATCAGTCAGGTCATGTTCACTTCTGCAGCTCAATATGCTCGGCTCGATTTCGCTCAATGATTCATCCAACACAGCCTGAGGTGTTTTTTTTTTAATATTGCAAAATGAAACTGTTTTGAGAAAAAAATCTTACCAAGGTACAAGTTCTAAAAAGGAGAATCAAGAATGGTAGTCTCATCATGGCGTCAATGGGTGTGCACGAGACTGACTTAAATCGAAGGAAAGCTGTGTCTTAAGCTATATATTTAAGCTGTTAAGTTCAAACTTTATCTTCCGTATACTTGTTTTAGTGTTAATTGAAATGTGTAATCAAGTATTTAATCCAGTAACAATAGAAAATAAAAAAATGTGTATTTTTAAAAAACTCACGGACAAATACATATTTCACTTTTAATAGATTTACTTAAACCTGAAATTTTTTTAGTAGGTCTTGAAACGGGTTTCACTCAATAATAGCTTTAAAGTGATCTGGGGAGATATTATAAAATAAAAACCAATTTGCCATGTTAATTCACTATGTCCAGACTTGGATGCGGCACCCTGTACAAAAAAAATAAATAAAAAATTTCACTGTGATATTTGTCTGGGTGTTTTGTTATCTTGTTCAGTTGCTTTACAAAAATATGCAAAAATAATTATAATTTTGAAACTTTGAAATGATTTATTATAAGCAATTCAATCTAAGAGAGCGTTACAGGAGTCATGTCATGGATAATTCGTAAATATTTAGGACATGTCCAAGGATCTTGATGAACGGCAAATTTTATATAGGAATTTTAAATTTAAAAGCAAAGTTTACACTATAATAAAAGCAACATAAAAATGTACAATTTCACGTTAATGTAACTGCCATTACAAAAGGAAAAGTTTGCATTATATTTGCCTTTATATGCTTTTTATTTTCGTGTCATAAATATTCCAGCAATATTCCATATCAGATAATAATTTCCAGTATTTGCTTCGGTTTTGTGGTTTCACTTAATTTCACCCATTATTCGAAAGTATCATACAAACATAACACACCGTCGTTATAAAAGTCAAAAGAATAGCTCCTAAATTTAAACGATCTGTTTATTTCCATGTTAAATATTGTGTGCAACACCGCATTCTTAAATGAGTCGTATTAAAATTTAAATTAACAACAAAACAAATTAACAAATTAACAGTTTTTCACATTTCTACAAATTTTAATTCCCAAACTATGAAAGAAGGTTATCTGTTTCACATGACACACCAACAAAAATAGTTAATTTTAATTACAAAAGGGTTGATATTTTTATATTGATGACTCAAAACTTCGAAAGTGTTTTAAACTTTCAAACTTGAAAACTAAGTTGAGATGAATTTTATCATTCCAATGATGCTGAAGCACATAAATCAGTGTACACCTAATACATTATGTTGAAACTAAAATTGTGTTATCTAATTTACCTAAATAATAATTTAATCGCCTCCCTTAATTTTTTATTATAATCTTTGCTACACATCAGAAAAATAATAATACTCTTTAAAGCCAGAAGCAGTTCAATAAGCTATGATAGATAGTCCTAGATTACGTAGCAAATAGACGTTTTTACATAATTTCTTGCACAGATCATCAATTTGGTGGTGCCAGGACAGAGTACTATCAATATGAACCCCCAAACATTTTGTACAGTATTCAGTTGAGTGGAAGGAAAGCTGTTTATTAAGATACATTTTTTAGCTATTGAGGTCAATTTTATTTTCCGTATATTTGGTGTTGTTTTAATAGTTAACTAGTTAAAATTATTGTTATTGAGAAACAATAGAAAATAATCCAGAAGATTTAGATATTAGTATAAGACAACGTTGCACTTCTCTTGTTCTTAGATACGAAAAGATCGTACATTCTTTAGTATTCTTTAATTTTGATGATGTCTACTTGTACGAAAATTGTAACAAGTGACATCAAAACGTCCTAATAGAACTTATCATCTAATTTACTTAAATAAATAATACTTTAACAGTTTTGCAAACATTTTTTTATCATTATTTTCAGACATCAAAAGAAAATAATCTTTACATCATCACATTAAATCTAATCTTCGATATGCTTGAGAACGCATTTTCCAAATTCCATATTAGCTGAGTCTTTTTTAACGTTTTTATCATTCACCCCAACTTCGTCTCGGCATTCCTTAATGGCTGACTTGAGTCTTTCCACTTCATCAACATTGTCTGCCTGAAAGTTTTTATAAATTTTGAAACGAAACTATGTTGAAGAAGAAACCTTACCAAGGCAGAGGTGGCAAAAAGAAGAATCACGAACGGAAGCCACTTCATAACGAGTAAGTGTACACAGTGTTAACTTGATTGAAATAAACACTATTTGTTAAGTTATATATAGTTTAGGTATTGTGGTCAAAATTTATCTTCCGTATAGTTGTTTTATCGTTAGTAGAAATAGTTGAACAGTTATAATTATCTTTACCAAGAAACAATACAGAATAAAAAAAAGCGTTTAACATGTTTGAGATAATAAAAACTCGAGAATATATATTTCACATTAAATAGCGTAACGTAGTGCATGAGCTGCTAATTTCTTTGATTTTATTGCATCACATCAATCTTCCATTATTCCACTCTGTCAGTCCCTGGAGTGGAGTTGGATTTCTCACGGTTTTCCACAAAACCGGTGGTGTCCCCCAGAGAACGGTTTAGGGACCCGTTCTTTTCGTATATAGATATAAATTACTGTTGTCCCTATACAAGGTGAGATGCAAAGTCGACGGGTAATTAGAGATTAATAATTAAAGACGACCAGGAATTTTTACTTAAATAATTCTAACATGTTTTGATGGCAGTTATAGTTAGAGCACATTTCATGAATGGTAAGTATTTCTGAATGTTAATCCTTGGCGTCGGTACATAGAAAAGTCGTTGAAGGCGCGATGATGGCCTGGGTACCCAAAAGTGAAGCTGTTCCAAAAGCTGTGGACAATCGATGCCATGATGTATTAGTTTTTTAAGGAAATATAGAGAAGCTTTGATACGTCTAGTATTTAAGTCGTTATATCCAAATCTGATAAAAGGTCAGATTGGGGTAGGCCTCTAGGAGGAGCGTCTATTTTGATTGTTAAAAACTTGAGAAAACGCCTCTGGATTTTTTCTATAGATTGAATGTAAAATTGAGCTGAAGGAGCCCATACAATACTGGCGTATTCAAAATCTTACGAAAGCACAATATAACGTATTAAAAGTAGTGATGTGATTGAAAGAACTGGACGATCTGATGATAAACCCAAGGGATTTAAACACTTCAGCAGTTATATTACTAATATGTAGAAAAAACGTGAGTTTAGATTCAAACGTTGTTCCAAGATCTCTGAAGGAATCCACTCTTGATAAAATATTTAAGTTAATAGTGTAATTGAAACTAAGCTTACAACTTTTATTTGCTTGAGACACAATGTAGCATTTGTGAAAATTTATAGGTAACATGTTAGATTTACTCCAGTTTTCAAAAGTGTGAATATCTTCCTGTAGAATTTGACAGTCTTCAACATTAATAATAATATGACGAAATATTTTTAGGTCGTCTGCATAAATTAAAACCTGAGAACTAATGGTTTTAATAACATCGTTGCTGTAGACATTGAAAAGCAGCGGACCTAGAACAGAGCCCTGTGGGACGCCGGACGGGACCAAAATTTTTTCGGAATGATGTTGAAGGTACTTCAGGCATTGATATCTACCAGTTAGGTAAGATTCCATTAATTTCAGCAAACAATCGGAGAAGCCAAAGTTGCGTAATTTTATCAGTAGAATTCTGTGGTTGAGTTTGTGAAACGCCCTGGAAAAATCAAAATATATCACGTCTACCTGCTGTTTAGCATCAAAACTATTGGCTACGAATTGGGTGAAACAACTCAAATTCGTTGCAGTAGAACGACCATTTATGAATCCATGTTGGGATTCCGTTAACCAATTGTGCACATTAAATGAGAGAAATTTATGAAGAATCATCTCAAAAATCTTTGAAAAATTGCAAATCAATGAGATGGGTGGGTAATTCTCTATTAAATGCCTCTCCCCTTTCTTAAAAATTGGTGAGATCACAGATTATTTCCAGACGTCTGGGAACGATGCAGGTTTCAAAAATATATTAAATATAACTGATAAAGAATAAGAAAACACTGAGACACAGTCATGTAAGAAAAAAACTGGTATATTATCATGGCCACTAGTCATATTAGGTTTGATAGTCATCAAGATTTCAAAGACGTTGGATTCCGTAACGGAAATAAAATTAATGGAATTATTGCTGGACTCATCAAGAAACTCATCAATAGAATTTGGACTATAATCCGAATAACTGGAGTGAAAGTGTTCCATAAAGGCATTTACAATATCTTTGGGATTACGCAAAATATTATCCAAATAAATCATTTCAGAAGGTATACCAGAACGCACTTTCAGACGACTAATATGCGCCCAGAATTTCCTTGGATCGGTATTAATAGTGGCTTCCAGATTTTGAGTATACAACTGATACCCGATTTTGATGTCATGTTTAAGCTCGTTACGAATAGTTTTAAAATGCTTAAGATTTAGTTGTTTTTTGTTTAAATGAATTATTACAATAATGATGAGATTTTGTACATAAAGATCCAATATGCTATTAAGTTTGTTTTAAAAGAGGTAGCAAGCATTATTAACATCTTTAACGTTCTCCAAGAAAGACCAACTTATCTCATCTAAATGACAATATAAATTTGGAAAGTCAGCTTTACGAAAATTCCAGCGTTTCTGTGAAGATTTACAATTACTTATAACCTTTACTTTTGGTTGATGATATTCCAAAGAAATAACCAGTGAGGGGTGGTGTGTATCTTCAGGTAGTAGATCATCTTCCGACTTATCGATATAACACTATGTATGAGAGCACTAACTCTAAGTATCTACCATTGATGTTGGCTATGCTGTTGCATTGTTTAAAATCAAGAAAATTTAGAAATGAAATTAAGACAGATAGTTTGTTATTACCAATAACGACGTCTACTAAGTTTGTGTGATATTCTGGTATATTAAAATCCCCAATAATTAAAATATGTTGATCATGTAGTTGTATTAGATCACTTAATAAATTGAACAATAATGAGAGTTCTTCAATGGCTGTTTTTGGTTGAATATATATTACAAAAATATAGAAGGAAGAAT